CTCTCTCTCTCTCTCTCTCTCTCTCTCTCTCTCTCTCTCTCTCTCTCTCTGTCTCTCTGCGAAGGCATTTATACGAGCAATGAGAAATTGCGGGCACTCTACACTTCTAATATTGAAAATTGATGTGGAAATCCACATTCGACTGATTGGTTTTCGGTTTTTTAAAAAAAAGAGGGGAAAATGCTATTCCAGGTCAAATTTTACAATTTATCGATATTAAAATTAAAAGGAAAGAGTGCAGATTTCTGCAGTTCTATTCTCGAAAATGGACGGATCAACTGTTAGTTTGGGTGGCAATAGGCGATTGTCATCTGGAGAAGAACGAGTTTCTATCGATGTTTAAACGATGTCAGGTCGTTTGACCATCATCCTTCCTATACAATCAATTCTTCCCACCTTTTATATTATTGCTCTGAACTGAACAAACATTTGTTTCCAATTTGTACCTGTAATTATGTTTTTTTCTCTTTATTGCATCTACATGCTTCATTAATTTTGTTTTGTCGAATCCATTCAGGCATTTATTCTTATCATACAAATACATTCTGAGTAAACTTGAAAGAAGGAATAATCCACTAAAATCTGAATTTACTAATATTTGATTCGGACTTGAAATAAAATTTGGTTCCAGAATCAAATCAAAATTTGATAAAAACTTAGTTAGTAAATTGCATTTCCAAATTTAATATTCCTATCTTTTTCTTTATCAAATTTGGTTATCAAAAAGTTGAAGTATGGGAAAGTTAATGTAAAAAAAAAAAGAAAAAAATTTAACCAGCCAGCTTTACAGTACTTGCGAAACATTATAGTTTCTCATCGATTAAATGAACATGAAACATGCATGTTCATCACATGTTCATCATTAACTCAACGCTTTTGAGCGCTTTTGAGCTTGAATTAGAATTTAGTTTTAAAAACGATACAAATAGGATGAAAACTATTTAAAATTTTGAATTAGTATAAAAACTGATTTTTTGGAGTTACGACTCTTTTTCTAATTTTCATAACATCTAAATCATCAAATTATTATTGCTGAACCTGTTTTAGACAAGTTGTCATAAAAAAAAAAAATGGTTGTTACGAGTTAACATATTGCCAATACTCTAAAAATATGTATTAGTTAAGAGAAAAGTAGTTGGTAAAAAGAAGGAAAAAAAACAGTCGATTTTTTTGCCATCAAAATGGTAAAAATCTGGATGTAATAAGATTATTGATATGTTAAGCTTATCAGGGATAAAATTATGATATATTAAATATAAATGGATGAATAAGATTGATATGCTAGACAAATTGTTTGTGTAACAAAGCATTATCGTGCAAATAATAGTTTTAAGAAAACTCCAGAAATTCCTTCTATTGATCTATAATCATATCACTTATTATCATGATAACAGCAGCAATTAGAGCTAAAGAAATGCTTTGTTTTATTGTTTTGAGCTCAAATATTTCATTCGTTTATTACCCTCTTTGTTTATTTACTGATATATTAATCATCAAACATGAAATTTACCAAACATTTCCTTAGTACTGTATCAATTATTATTCAATTTATGGTTTTTTAAGCTTTATGAGATTTCATAAAAAGCAATTAATATGTTTCATATGTTTAAATTTGATTTAGCTCATATTAACTCTAACTTTAATCTCTTTCTTCATTTACTCTTTACCTGTCTTAATCAATACTACGTATTTTAACAATAACCATTCTATCTGAGTCAATGGACAAATGTTTAATCACGAAAAAGTTAGCATAAAAGTTAACATCAGGATGTATTCAAATGTAAAATATGTCAGATTACCTCAAACTTATATGGCTCATTATTAAAGGTGACATTTTCTATTCTTGTCAATGTTTAAGGTCAGTTATGGCAGGTGCAGTACGTTCGGTGCGTTTTAGTGATGATTTGCCTAGAATATCACATAAAAATACAGTGACGAAAAATGTGATCCAATCTTATGAGCAGACTTCTCAAACACCGGTACAACTTCCTCGGGTATACGATGATGCTCTTTATAGTCCGTACGATGTATATACTGCTGCTAGTATGGGAGATACTCCAGTAATTGAGGTAAGCATTTTATTTCTCCTGAAACTCAGTCACTGATATACTAATCCAAAAGGGTAAAGATCAAATGATAACGTGTGGATAAATTACTAAACTGGATATGATATTATGTAAACATGTGACCATGTTTACATAATGCTATTAAAGTATTTTAATTTTAATTACGTTGAATTAAGTGACAAGTACAATATGTTTATTAGAGTGAAAATTAAAACATAAACTGTGACTTATTTCCTTTAAGAAGTTACTAACATTTCTATGAGCTTATTCAAACTATTATCATATCTTTTCCTTCTAGAACTTTCCAATCCGATTTGTCACTTTTAGGCACAGTTGGAAAAGGGATTTGATGCAAATCGTTTAAATGGAAGCGGTTGGAGTTCGTTAATGTATGCGGCTTATCTTGGACATGAAACGGTTTGTGCGCTATTGCTTAAATCAGGAGCTTTGGTGGATTTATGCAATGCAAGTGGACAAACAGCATTAATGCTTGCTGCTACATGTGGAAACTTAGCTGTTGTGAGTGTGTATTAAACTTCCAAACTTTTATCTGAAAAAAAGTAATTTCAGAGTTGTGAAAATTTTAAGAATCCTGGTTCCATCCATAAAAGGTTTCCAATCATTGTAGAATTTGAAGTACAGTGATTTAAATTTTGGTTTTCCAAAAGTTAATCTTTCCTATTTAATTAAAGTTCCATGTTTGCAGCTAGGTTTAATAAAAGAATTTTCTTTTCAGGTACGATTATTAATGCGCAAGAATGCTGTTATTGATAAGCAGGATAATATGGGCGATACAGCGCTAGCTTATGCAACTGCTTGCTCACAAGCTAGTATTGCAGAAGCTTTGCTTGATAATGGCGCTAATCCCAACATTCCCAATTTGCATGGTATGACACCGACCTTAACTGCATGCTGCATTGGACACGAGCTTACACTACTTGCATTACTGCAGAATGTACGTTTGTCGTGTTTTTAATATTGATTTTTGTGAAGAATAGTGTAGAAAATGAACATTAAGTGCAGCAAAATTTATCAAAATTAGACTGAAAAATGATAAGTGAAGCAATTTTTTCCCATCCATAAGTTTTATTTACTTATTTACCGCATTTTATAGCATTCATTACAATATTTCTTTCTTTTTTTTAAATAGAATAGAATAATAATAGCTGCTCTTCTTCATCCTTTATCCGCATTATATTTATTCATTGTTTAATGTTACTTTCACCTTTTGTCAGAATGAAATCTATCTGAAGAAGCGTTGAGAGTACTATATTATCCAAGTACTTCTTTTCAGTTATGTGGGAAAATTTAGAAAGGAATTTTAAGATTTCGTACAATATTTCAAATTTAGTACCTTCCCATACATTTCTCAAAGTTGCCTTTTGCTCATTACTGATCATATTTTTGAAACTTTTTTTTTATTTTTCCTCGCTGTTGTTATCGATGTTCCGTGAAAAATCAAAAACTAAATTTTTTCGTACTGGATAGATTCAAATCAAAAAAAAAAATATGTTTTGCTCCTCATTAATTAAAATTTTCATTTCAATATGTTTCACTGGGAGAAAGACAGAAAAGAAAAACAAAACACCACAATACTTCTTATTTCCTTTTACTTTCTCTTAAATGTCTGAAAACTTCCTAATACTGTTTCATCCAGCATCTTTTCTTTTATCACTTTGACAACAGCTATATAATGAAACAAAACATCATCTAACAATCTCCAGGTGACTGAGAAGAAATACAATGCATCACCATATGTCTGATTCTCTAGAATTAATTTGCGTTTGCCATTTTTATGTTTCTTGGCTTGTATGTGCATTTCATTCTAATTGATATGGTTGAAAAGGGTCAAAACATCGCAAGACATATTCTGACAGTTTCAAAAAAGTCAAGAAAATACACTAATATTCGGTCGTCAATTACCGACAGTCTAGCAATGGATTGTAGGTTTAAAAGTTGACACCACCAATTCTTTGAGGATTTTGATTCCTTCAATCATTGTGATTTAACTAACCTATGCTACGCATCCTCACTCTACATCGAATCAAATCATGAAAAACGAATCATCCACTGATGTTAGGTTTAAGCATGACCTCAACAACATTTTAGGACTAGTCCTTATCTTTTAAGAGATCAGTTTATCATTCACGATTTCTTGGAAATCCATATAGCATAGCTGACTTCAAATTTAATATTTTAGGATGGTGATCCGAAATTAAAGAACTCAAAAGGTGAAGATGGTGAAGCCTTAGCTTTTGACAATCCAAAAACCATCGCCATTTTAAAGGATCCTCCGCGGGTAACTTATTTAGTTGTTAATAATTCTATCATTTTAATTCTTTGCACTTGTAAACTTTCTCGTGAATTTATTGTTGCTGTAACCATTCAAGAATTAATTTTGCAATTTTAAATTTTACTCTAGCCCGTAACTGCTTTATTTGTTACAATGACTGTGTGTATATTTGAAATTTTCTGAGTTTAATTTGATCTTTCATTCGTACCGGAACTCTAATGTAATTGGCGGACATAAGGACGACTGGATGTCCAGGACCGTTGAATTTTTGGGCTTTCAGTGCTAGAAAAACCGTCTTTCAGAAATACATATATGTATATTTTGCCATAGATACGGATCTTTTTAGAGTAAAAGGAAGAAAAACAATACAGAAAAGAAAGCAATGGAAGTAAATTCATTAACGGAATTGCTAACACGACTCAAGTTAGAAAAATACATCGAAATATTTGAAACCGAAAATATCGATTTAAATTTATTCTTGGAGCTTAACGATACTGATCTTATGGAGATCGGCATCAAAGTATGTTTGTATTCTTATTTTATAATTGTAAATGGAACTGCGAACCGGATTCAAATATTACAAGTCTTTTCCCTTCATTGTTTTTCTCCAAAATTTCTATTTTATGCTTATTTTGCACTCATTCTTCCTTGATTGTTAGTGAAATGAGCAATAAAACTTTAGGCATTCGGTCCACGCAAGAAAATGCTGAATGTTATACAGCAGTATCGGACTAATGGAACGCTTATTCTTTGCACAAATGATGCGAAACCAGTCCCATGTCCTTATACCAAGGAAAGAGGACAACCGGAACCGCATTCTCAACAGGTTATTACAAGATGATAAATCATAAATTAATATATTGCATGATGATTATGCCACATGATGATTAATATGCTACATGATAATTTTATCTTGTTTAATTTAAAAATGCAAGTGCTATAGCAATGATCGTTTTAGTGATTTTTGTTTAAATTTAAAATATATATTAAAATTCAGTTTCAAATCTCGAAGATTTTTCATCCGCTTTTGAAAAAAACGTTTTATTTTATTTGGCATTGTTATTGTGAATATTTTTAAAAAAATGAGGACAAAAGAATGAAATAGCATGGAAAGGAAACATGTGAAAAATCCTTTTCTAGTTTTTTTTTTCTTTTTCTTTTGCATAAACTATGGAAGAAAAGAAACATTGTTGACAGGTAACGAATGAACTAATGGAATGCCAACAGCGTTTAGCAGAATGTCAGCAGGAATTAAAACAAGCCCGAAGTTTGTTGAGCGAACATCGCTCAACGTTAAATTCTATTTCGGAAGCTTGTCGACATTCGCGGAAAATAGCCTATACCATGCTTCAAGTTAGTGCACCAAATCCATTTAATAAATTGATTAAAAAATTTAAATGATGAAATTCTTTTGACAAAAAATTTCTAGTCTTTCGTTCGTCCCCTAACATTACGCACACTATTTTTCTTGTTGTACACCTTTGCCAATTTGTTCTACCTATTGTTACCCTGTCACATAAAATAACTAATTATGTACTGTCCGCTAATTACAGTTGTTTAATCACCAACTGCAATGGTTGGCATCAAAATTTCCATTATAAGTTATTGAATGTGATGTGCCACTTTGGAAGCAACATACGCATTGATTAAATAGACCAGGAATGACAGCTTTTTTTGTACTTAACTTTCCGATTTTTAATTGTACATTTTTAATCATTCACGTTTAAATTTTCACGCACTTACGATTTTTCTCAAAAACTTTTTGTTAGGAAGTTCGACAAACAAATGGTGCAGGTGATACTTTGGAAAACGACGTACTTGCGGTAATCAAAAATATCGACAATATTTTGATGAAAATGCTGGAACTCCCACAGCAGTGATAATACTTGCTCAACATGTTTTCTATTGTTGTTCTTTTCAGTGCAGATTATTTAGGACTTTTGAAACTTTTCTAATCATTTTCTTTAAATTGAAATTAACATACCCGGCGTTTAAAAAAAAGACGGGGAAACTCTATGGAGACGACCAGTGAAAGTACTAATTCTTTTCGAAGTTAGTTTTCTTTTATATTTCTTTGTAGTCTAACTTTGGCAGGACTTTTTTGTATTCTAACTTCACAAGACTATTTGTTATCTTTGGAAATGACATCAATCTAAAAATATTTGATTTGCAAACCTTTATCAAATTCCTAATAGCTCTTCTAACATTTCTGGGTAAGTTCTGCTACTTCCGAGAAACCGTTTTTTGTTCCATCTCTTTCCTGACAGTATGTTCATTCGTAAGCTTCTCAATGGGAACATTTTATTTATTCTGAATGAACTGAATTTCGCTGTGTTTATCTTTTATAATTTTGTTTGAATAAATACGAAGATAAATTTATCCTTTTGTCTATCCACAGCAAAAATCAATCCATCTTGCTTTCGAAGCCTGCTCAATATTTCTATTGACTCTGTTCTACAGTTGTCCACAGACGAAGTAATGACGGTATTTCTCAGAGTTGAGGTAACCATTAGAAGTATTACAAGCAATAAATATATCCGTTAAGTTTTGAACTGGACATAAGTGTACCTTTATACTTCGAAATACTGACATATCAATGCGTATTTAGAGGTGCTACTCAGTATCTGTCTTTCCAATTCCAATTGCATCCTCCATCGAATTGCTCGGCTAATTTCGTCTTCGTTCTATATGAGAAAAACAGCTGGACTGATAACGGTACTGTTGAGCAGTCCTTAAATATTAATATTCGGGAAATGTTCCCTGTAGCTATGAAAACAATGTACTTCTGTACTTCCAGATGCACACAGTAAAACGAGAAACGCAGCATGCAAATGATAACATGTTAAATTTTTATATTTTGAGTGGAATAATAACAATAAAATAGTGGAAAATTGCCATATAAACAAACAATGTATGAAACAGTTGCTAGAGTTTGTGTTATTACTAAAACAAAAACACAGTATCGAAGTTAATTTTGATAATATCATTCACATATTGCTGCACTTCAGCCAGTGTAGTAAGTGTAGCACTTCGTATTATGAGCAATAAAAATCGTTTATTTACTTTCTTGATAATAAGCCACCAATCAGTATCTAACTTAGCTGATGCTTCGCCAAAATCATTGCTTTCTAGGAATTCATCAAATATGTCACAGACGGATCTAAAAATAAAATAAAATAAATTACCAAAATACATCAAAAGATTTCAAAAACTTGAAAATATTGAAGAATTTAAAATTTAAAGGAGAAAAATGATCAGGAATACAAACATTTTTTCTTTTGGAAGTAAGATATCATTTTATTCTTTTTGTCTGTAGTTTTGTTTCACTTTTACAAAGACCGCTAAACTTACTTGTATACTGAAGATGGTACAGAGGGTAGATTTGAGCTACGGCTAGAGTCAATATTTTCCATAAGACTCGTCTTAAGGCTCATACTTTCCGGATTGAAATACACGAAATGAAACTCGTTTTCTTTTCTTGATATATCATTCAAAGTACCATACGATTCAGCAATTAGAGATGCCAGTGCAGTTAATTCCGGTCCAAGATAGTCATCTAACTGTTGCAGAAATTGGGCATCAATACTTTTCTGGATGAACATGCAAACTGTAGCGTTCAAAGCACGATAAACGATCTAAATTACAAAAAAAGAAACCTGATTTTACTGAGAGTTTAAAATTGAAAATTTTGGGCTAAAACGAAAGATGAACGTACAGGGAAGTAGCAAACATAAGATTCCCTTCCCTTAGTATAACATTAATTAACAAAGTAAATATACTAAAATATAATGATGAAATATAGTAAACGCGTAGAACAAAACAGAGGAGTATCCTGAGAATAAAACTGGACAAAATAATCAGTTGCGATGGGACAGGAAAATTTATTGACTGATGATTATATGCTTCTTCTTCCTTAATGGTGATGGAACATTGATCGAACAAAAGACCTCGAAAAGAAAAATAGGAGAAAAATAGAAGAGAAAAAAGAGTCAAAATGTTGGCTAAAAACATATCATTCTTTTATAACCATTGAGAAATTACCATTTCATAAGGTATAAACCTTCGTTCGTTATTATCATCACATAAATAAACAACTGATAACTTAGTATCACTTTCATCGCTTGAAGGACTTTTGGCCATCAAAAATTTTCCCCGATGGACTGAGTCTCTCCTGAAATTATGAGTTGTATATTACTTTGAGAATCGTTTCTGATAGGCCCTGGCTTCATTGTCTGCAAGTCCTGGATGATGGTTATGATAATTATACTGTCACAATGAGTTTCCTTCGCAAATCTCACCAATAAGCAAAAGTGAATCATACGCCTATCGATTTCAAGGTAACCCTATAATTTCAGTGTTTCTTGATTTCCAAAAAATTTCTATTTAAAAGGATGGGAAGATTGGATTAACTGGGACATTCTAAATTATCTTTGTCAGTGGTGTGGTAAGAAAAGTAAATGCGCAGTCCATGTTTTCACCGAAAGTCTAATATTTAAAATTAACTGTCCCTTCTTGTATGGTCAGAGAAAAATGATGCTTCAAGTGAAAGAGAAGTGATAAAAAGTAAGAGCAAACCTGCTACATTTTTCAGGTTGCAATTCTTCTTTCAATGATCTACTAAGGAGGTGTTGAGTGAGGTAACGACAAAGTATAGGCAAATCGGTTTTGGAAACACTATGGGTTATCAGGCGTTCCTGATAAAAGAATATAGTTTTTGAAATTTGAGGAAAAGTTTCCATTAAGTCATCCAAGAGATTCGCAATTCGTAAGTAACTTATGCTGTCTAACGAGAGATAATCAATACCACAAAACACATCCAGTAAAGGCATCTGCAAAATTATACACATTAAGGTGTTGAAAGATACAGACGTATTATTCCAATGGATTCAATATTATTAAATGACATGTGTGTTTTGAGCGCTGTAAAAAGAAAAATTATCCCGAAAAAATCCCGAAAGAAAAAATTCCAAAAGAAAGGAATTATCCCGGAAGAAAAAATTTCCTTTTGAATATGACCAGTAATTTTTTCCTTTTGTCATTTTATACTACTAAATGATCTTAAAATACCCAGCACGAATATAACAGTTCAGAAACATAAGTACGTATAGCATATATGAAAAAGAAAAGTTACGCAAGTTGGTTCTATCTCCCTTTATTATCTCTTAAAATTAGTATGCAAGAAATGAAATTACTACAATCCGTTTTGATATCTTCAAAAAAAAATCCGCCATTGATTAGTTAAATACGATAATAATCGTCTCAACAGCGCTTTGGTTTAGAATGTAACTCACACGATGGAGACGAAGTTGTGGGAGGTAACGTGAGAAGAAATACTCCAAGCGATCCTTCAAATGTACAGAATTATCTCCCACAAGTCGAGAAAATGGACCAAAAAATAGACGAAACATTTTGTAAGCCGTTATTAGCACCGCCTTGATAGCTGATCCCCGTAGAATGTAATCCTCATTAATACTAAGTTCTCTAAAAATAACGTTTCGAATATGCCTATGACAATTTAAATTCAACTCTTCTTTAATTAAGATACTTTTGAAGCATTCTTCCTTATAGTGATTACAAGTATGTTATATATGAACGCTGTTTTCTTCAATATATCATTTAGCTTTTGATATACTACTTTTTTTATCTTTTATTTGTTGGGTAGAGCATAACGAAATAACACATTTCTAGCAAGTTTATAATCTTTACAACCTTATAACAATTCCAACTATTTCTATGCTAAATGAAATGCGATGCTTGAAAGTTTTTCCCTGTGCAATACAGATGAACAAAAATGATTTCAAAGTGGTTTCAGTGAGAAAACAAAAACATCATTAGATGAATTTTGGAAGATGCATTCCAGATTATGTTTTCGTTTTTTGTTCTTCAAACCTAATACTGTTCATGTCAAAGGATCACATAGCCTTTGATTTGAAATGCGAAATCTTTTTTTTTTTTTTGAGAATCTTCAATGAAAAGTCTATTCTAACAAGATAATAATTCAACAACTTAATCAAATTATTCGTACAAGCAAATAATCAAATCACTTTTGAGAAAGATCAAATCACTACTGAAATAAGCTTAAATGTCAAAAAATCCATTCAAACTAGATTGTACTTCTAGCATAATCAAAGATTATCGTTAAGTGAATAAATAATACGAGAAAATAAGAAATATTCTATTCGAAAGCTGAGAATCACCATACCCTTACATTTAAAGGCAATTAGATAAAATCATATCCCGACATTTAAATGAAAGAAGATGGAAATAAAAACTTGAAACTTTCACATTAAATTTATCATTTCAATTATTCCAATACTTACTTCCTTTACTCTAAGAGATCATTGTTTTTGTTAAATATTGGAAGTCTTGAATTCTTATGATTCCACCTTACAGAAAACAAAAGCACTCACTTGTTTATACCGGCTCCCATAATAAATTTTTCAGATTCCACCTGAATATACACATGCAATTGTTTGGAAGTGTTCACATAACGATACTGAAATTCTGACTCTTCCTTTTTTTCCGTGAAATTTTCAGTAAAATTAACAACTGCTTCCGCGAAACCTGTTATCTGCGTCTAAAAATCATGGGTATATTACTGTTGTTACATCCTTTGAACTAACTTGAAAATATGGATACTTACTTTTAAGCGAAAAATTTCCATGTAACATCAGTAATAGCTAAATAAAATAAAACTTCCGAAAGTTTTTCGAAATTTTTTTTAAACAGCAATAATTACCATAACATTAAACAGTGCACCTGCTTCTCCACTGACTCATTTTGAGGACTGTTGAAATAAAAAACTCTTTCATTTTCTTTGCCTTCGATACGTCCAGAATCAGGATGTGCAACAAAGATAAAATCAAATATATCGATGAAATGACAGGCGTTGCTTTTACTTCTGGTACTTGTCGGACTGCTGAGCAGAAAATTTCCGGAAAATGTTGATGGATTCATCCACAGTATCACTTAGTTAACCATTTCATCAATATAAAACTCATGCAGGACTGGCTGAAATATAGATTCAAATGTAGAAACTTATGATAAAACCAAGAGCACAGTTTAAAATATGCCAAATTAAAATTAGAATGAAACTTAAATAAGACAATGAAATCAAAAACGTTAAATCGTCGTGCACGATGATATCAATAACTTCAGCCTTACTTCCGTATCTCTCCTCATCCCAATAGTTCATCACGGTAAGGAGTTCCGCGTCTTATCGGTTCGATGTCACGTTGCGACTTGTGAAGTGATGGTGAAGAGGTATTGCCGTGTGGTTAGCTATGGTGACATACTTTCTTTTTGTTGGCGTTCCAGAAGCTGAAAAAAAGCAACCAGAAAGCTAGAAGTATTTCTAATCAAAAGAGCTAATCAGATGAAATCATTAGCGGAATGTTATTAGCCATTCCTTACATAAAACAAGTTCAAAATAGGACCAAACAAAGTTATACAGGATTAGATCTTTAAAAGTAATACTGGTTTAGCTTAGGTTATGTCACATCATGCCATGTCACAATATTAACTTTCTCCATCTATTCATTGAACTATGTGAATTCGTAAAATTACTTGACAGATAAATCCATTTGCATATCATTTACCTATTGCTATTTCTTATCTATGCTTAAAAATAATGCTAAAATAATGTTCAGATGGGAGTCGTAGATGTGATAAATGCTATGGCTAATAAAGAATGATAAGATGATAAGGATAAAAACTGGATAAGCCTAAGGTTTTACTTGGATTTCGAATGCACAATTGATACTTTTCTTGTTCATTATGATAATACGGGAAAAGTTCTTAACACTCAAAAAATCTTTATCAATATATATATATATATATCCTGAGAGGGTTATTTTGATAATTTATTTTGGACAATTTAAATGAAAATTTAAGCCATACGAAATTATGACACGATAATGTCTTCTAGTCCGGAAGGCATGTTTTCGTGAAACATCGGCGGTATTGTTATTCTGAGTGGGAAATGAAGAGCTGTGAAAACTTAGCTAACTAGCTCAAAGGCTTCATCATCCGGATGGCAGGAAGATATTGCTGATGTCCATTTTTTGATCATTAGTCAAAGACTTCGTGATAATATCACTTGCTCTTTCACTTATTTTAGATTAAGGAAGGGCAAGGAGCAAGTTCAAATACCTCTCTTTTTTTTTTTTCTTTACTTTAATTCAGAATAGGTTATCGATGCAGCGGCAAAGGCCAGCAATGTATTTGGATGAATTGTGGGTATTGGCTGTTGGTGAAGCCAAGAAAAAATGTTATGAGTTGTTTTAATTAGAATTCAGAATATTTCTCAGGTAAATGATTCGTTTACATAAAATTAATAAAAAAAAATTTCGATAGCTAAAGCGATGAATCATTTATCCAAATTTAACTCTTTCATTTTTTTTAACAAATTTTAATTACAATGCTTAAATGTTGCAAACAAACTCCTTTGTTCTAAATTTTTTTCCAATCTATTAATCAAGCTTATATGCAAATATCAAAATTCAGTAAAGAACCTCTCTAGTGTAACAGTTCAACCAATCTTTATCTATCTGGAATGTTAAACTATTCCCACTATAAAAGAGCTAGGATCAATCATCCGAATGAACAGTCACAAAATTCAAAAAAAGATCGAACAGTCATTCAATCCTACAGCTTCCCACATTTACTCAATCTGACAAATCCCGCAGTTTCGCAATTTGATAGTTCGTTGATCGGACAATCAGACAGCTCGTGTAAGCACTCAAGGAGACAACAAAGTTAGGAATTCAACCAGGACAACGATTTAACGACAGAGAAATGGCAATACGACAATTTAGCAGCACAAGCTACAAGATTATTTGGTATCTTTTAAAACTTATCCTGTATTGTTCATTTCATTCCTATTATTAGATCAGTGTGATATTGTACCGTATCGTATAAGACCAATAAAGATTACTATCAATGTTACGAAGTTAAAATAACGGAAATAAACCTATAAAATCTTTCTCGGATAATTGTAAGTTGGAATTGTTTAACTTTAGATGAAGTGATGATCCAAAAAGTTTTGTGAAGCTGAAATGAGGAATGTAGTGATCATTTTCTCTTTCCCTGTTTGAAATTGACAATAAACAATTAATATTTATGCTATGAAAATATTTATTATTCATAATGCAAGATAATTAATTAGAAAAATTTGAAAGATTTTGATCACAAAAAGCAACATTAATCCATAACTAATACTTATTGATTGAAATAATTTGAAGGAAATTGTACAATTCTTTTTTATGGGATATTAAAGTTTTTTTCTTTCATACAAGCATAGTTTTCCAATATATCTGTTCTATTGTAAGTAACAAATAAACTAACAATGCAATAAGATTGTAGATGAATGAAACAAATACAAATGCATATGAATGTAATTGATTGGGAACGAAATTTTCTCTTTACTTTTATGGAAATTAATTAATTAAATTAATAGGTCACTCATTATTAATAGATTTCAGGTTTATTATATTAAAATTTTATAGTATGAAATTTTCAACTGAAGGAGAAAAATTTTCATTCCCTAATAGCTTAATTATAGATTTCTTCAATCAATAGGAACTTTGAACTTTTTCTCCTTCCGAATGTTCCTCTCAATGATATTATATTGGTACTTTAATAAATTTACAAATAAAAACAAAGAATTACGAGAGAATTTAGAATTTGCCAAATTCTCTCAATAATTTGATACAGAAAGAATTGGCAAAAAAAAAAATAAAAATAAAATTTCATAAAAATAATTTCAAAAATTTCATAAAAATAATTTCAAAAATTTCAAAAAAAAATAATTTCAAAAATTTCATAAAAATAATTTCAAAAATATAAACAATCAATAATACGACGTCTACGTCGACGTCGTTTACTACGTGAAGCTAATGGTCGGCTTAAAAAAAATTGACAATTACGGAGAATTTGAAGTTTCCAATCAGTAGAATTTTCCAATGTATAACGTTTTGCAAATGTATCATAGAATCGAGCAAATGGAAATAATTCACGACAATTATCACGTGGTGTTTTTTCCGTGTAAAATGATGCGATTAATGATAAACGATAGATATCATTTGGTTTCAAATCCATACTTATAGCTAATTGATAATACTCATCTGATAAACTACAACCAAGTAATCCACTATATCCTGTCTATAATTCATTTATTAGCCTATTATTTGGTGAATTTTGGTTTTATTTCTGGACTGTTAAACATGATAAAATATGATATTTAATTTTAAAAATTATCATTGGTAGTTGTTAATAAATAATAACTTACAGTAGGAATTATCGGATATTCCATTGAAAATAAGTGATAAAAATGATTCCGCCAAAGTGGTTTCTTATATTTTGGACAGGAAAGACGATTAGCAGTATAACAAAATTCTATCGAACATATTAATTATTAATAGTATTTATAATATTTTAAAAATATTTAAACACATTTCAACATTTATCATTTTTTTTTCTAATCCTTTTTTGTTTAGGTGTTAAAAAAAAAACAAAAAAAAGAAAATGAAAAATGGATAGGTAAAAATTATAAAAAAAAAAAACAATCGAATAATTTAATCTATTGAAATTAATTTTATCATACAATACCCAAATGACAATACCTATGGGTAATTTCATTGATAGTAAACGATCGGTTAATATACGTTGATCAATTTGATTTTGATTTTGGCTTAATGTACTTAGAATTTCTGCATTACTTAATCGATCAGGACGGAGTAATAAAATATCATATAATTGACTTACATTTTCATTAATCTAAAATAAATCCAACATAATATTTTTATATTTTTAAATTAAAATATTAAAAATTTTCAATAAATTTATCCGATTATAATGATAGTAATTTTGAACAGGATAGAAATGGATCATATTGGTATAAAAGAATTATCAAAAATGTAATCATTCAGTTCCATTAATGCATGGAAATGCTTCTAATGTTTCCTGATAAAAAGTGCTTATAATGTTTCCTGATAAGAAATGCTTATAATGTTTCCGGATAAAAAATGCTTATAATATTTCCTGATATTTCCTGATATAATATTTTCCCTATAATGTTTCCTGATAAGATAGTGATTTTGTTTTTTTTTTTTTGTTATTATTAAAAAATTGAAAAATTTTATTTCAATAATCTTATTCATTCATTTCATAATCGTTTTATTGCTTAAAAAAAAAAAAAAAATTGCCGAATTAAAAAATAGTATCATTGATGTATTTTATTTTCAAATTTAGTTGAAAAGATTTTATCCATATTGAAAATTCTATTCAAATTCAATTTCTTTATTGAATGATATATTGTCTCCTTTAAAGCCTATAATGTTTAATATAATCGAAGAAATTTTAATTAATTTAAATTTCAATTTAAATTTAAACATTAAATGATATTAATAACCTTAGCTAGATTAAAAACTATTATTAATTGTGACTCTCGTCGAATACGATCAATCATTTCCTGTAACTCATGTATGTTAACTTCATTTTTGTCACCAAAAATCATCTCCATTCCATGTATTATGTCACTATCAGGCTTATTTTTACATCTATAAGTCCTTCCTGCAATGCAATAATAATTTCTTTATACGAAAGATTGATTGATAAAAAAGAAAAGTAGAAAAGGATGAATTTATCAATGTCTTTATACGTTGGTTCGTTTGATATAATACTTGGCCCTAGTAATCATAATCGATATAATCAGGGTAATCGATCATTTTGATATAATACTTGGCCTAGTAATTATAATCGATATAATCAGGGTAATCGATCATTTTGATATAATACTTGGCCTAGTAATTATAATCGATATAATCAGGGTAATTGATCATTTATAAAAAATTTTTTCCATATAGATTGGATAAAATTCCAGCTATTTGAGGCTTTTTAGAAGAAGCCATTGTCGAAATGATTCGTTTTGGCTCATCATCACAAATCATTTAGTCTTGAAGTATTACTATCTTCTTAACTTACTTAAAATTTCCAGAAATTTGTTGCTTTATTAATTGCATGTAAGTAATACTACAGTAGTACTATAT